GTCGCGTAACACACATAAAAAAAAAACATACAGTCGAATTCAGAACCTCCTCCTTTGATTTTGATGAACGATTATTTTTCAATAATTTTCACACATTTATTCGAGTAGGCAAATGTTCCACTGTATAGCCTTTTCTAAGTATCTTCCCTTGGTTTAATGGAAAAGGCGACAAGCGCCTGTTCTTATACAGTTCATTTCATATGTCATGAATGGTTTATGCAATCCATTTTTTTTTACACTCTCTAAGCTATACATATACCTAATTGTATAGGACATTAGGTTTTGTTTAGTTTAACCTAGCTTTTCCCGATAGCTATTTAGTTAGGTTTTTAATAAGAAAAATGTAATCTATTCTGAATACTGTGGTTCTCGATATTACGGAATGGTGGAAAAAGGTTACTGATGCATTATAGTATAAACCTCTTTTGAAACTTTAAAATAGCGTATCGGCTGAATCTCTCTACAACTACTCCCCGATTTATTTAAGCGGAATCAGATTCAAACTATGTCCTGTCATTCTCGAGATCGAAGAATGGTACCGCTGGGAAATATCTTTAAAACTTTGAAACGCTGAACCGATATAATATCCGTTTTTGCGATTAGACCGAGTAATTCATGATTTTTCGTCCCATTTACGAGTACGTACTACAAAATACTAATCTAACCTAAACCCACAGGAGGGGGTTAAACCAGCTCGGAAACGCAAACAGAAATGACTAATTTGAATTTTCTGTCTTTCATTTAATATTTTGCCAAATCTACGGCCGGTATTCTAAACAATACCTAGGTATTCTATACAATGCCCAGGAAATGTGTACAAATAGTTAAAAAATATTAACTATTATATGCATTGGTCAAACAAGCCCGGCTTGTGTAGAATTGTCAGGTATTTTACTGAATCCATTGACTTTTACTGAATCCCAGAATTACACACATTGCCTTTAACATGTACGAGTATTATCAAAAAAGATTGACTGATATCTTGACTACTAAATTGTCGCTTAAAAATGTATGTGACTTACAAAACTTCCTTTTTTCATAACCACGATTAGGACGCACGATACGTTTCGCTCGAAGAATTCGCTCAAAATTTTATCAAAATAGCAATTTCAAAACCACTTATTGACATTACAATTCATTAACTTGGAAATCTGATTTCGTGGTCATAATAATCAGCTTGTAATAGTGAATTAGTTAGGCTAGATGAAAACGCCATTTTTGCTTTGGATACAGCACCCTGCATTCTTGTAGGTAAGTAAGTGTACAACCCCATTAGATAAATGATATTTTCGTCATTAACTCAATTTATTTCATTTAACTTCTATCTTATTTATTTATAACAGCATAAATATTTATTCAACAATTTAAATATTTATTCAACAACATAAATATTGACTATTATACACTGACTTTTTTAACTGAACTATGTTTTTTCTATTTTTTTTTTTATAACATGAGTCAACTCACCTGGGGGTCGACCGATTTGATTTGATATCGTACGATTTCTTTTCATTTTTATTCATAACACCCGAATCGAATGTCAAACTGTCGTATTCGAAACCGAACCAAAATGACGTCATACCCGTACGATTACTCAAACTTCTCGACTGCCAAAGGCTATAAACGTTATTCAGAACACAATTATAGAATGAAAGTGAAATCTCTTAGTTTTTGAAATAAATTCTGGGTTTTATTGAATTTTATTAATTTATTCTAATACAAGCCTAACGCATTCCTATATTTTAGGCCTTTAAAGTCTTAAAAATGTATATAAAAGGTTTTTCATTTTTCTTATAATCTATTCCGTAAACGCTGTTGGATAACGATGTCGTATCCGAATCCGAATAGAACGTTTATCTCGAACGTTCTGAGTAGCTCGGAAGCGCCCTTCGATACGAGAACGATATCCAATCGAAAGGTTCGGTTAAAATATCGAAGAGTTCTGAATCGGTGTCCTGGGATCGATTCAGAGCACCTTACGATAACTCAGTTGTCGACCGATTTCTTTTCATTTTTATTCACAACACCCGAATCGAATGTCAAATTGTCGTATTCGAAACCGAACCGAAATGACGTCACACCCGTACAACAACTCGAACTTCTCGACCGGCAAAGGCTTAAAAACTTTATTCAGAACACGGTTATCGAATGAAAGTTGCCGGATTGTTCTTATTATTTTAAATAAAGTTTGGATTTTAATTTTATTTTAATGCAAGTTTAATGCATTGCAATATTTTAGGCCTATAAAGTCTTAAAAATGTATATAAAAGGACTTTCATATCGTATGCGAATCCGAATCGAACGTTTAACTCGGAATGGTTTGAATAGCTCGAGATGGAAAGTGTCGATAAGGTCGACGATGGAGCATGCACACCTAAATATTGCCTATTCACTATCGCCTTGAAAATACTCAAGTAACATGTTAGGTGCATAGCAAGTATAAAACGTTCAGGGAATATACATCTGTAGGCAGGGAAAGGATGTCAAGCTTCCTGGCTGCATTTTTGGCCATGGTTGGGTGATTGATCCATTCCAAGTAGCTGGAGACGGTCGGCTATACGTATGGACATATCATACCAAGTCAATGTCACGTCAACAGGACTCCGTTTTGTGAAGAATAGACGCCCTTTTGTTTTGGTAGAGTTAAATTTAACAAGGCTTACGTGCCAGACCTTGTAAAAACAAAACTCTACAAATGTCCAAAGATACAGCCAGGGCGTCGCCATGCTTTTCTATAGCCTCGCTACATATGTGAAATGCATAAGAAGGTTTGTAGATCAATCAAAGATCGATAGTCTGTTTGCGATTTCGACGTGTGAATACTTATACCCGCTCGCAGCACCGTTCAGACGCTTTTGAACATTCGTGAATGGCGCTCGGACTCTTCAGTATGCAATGGTTGATATCGATCTTATTATAATTGCTCTTATGTCTGAAGCTGAAGAAGAAGAAACTGAAATTAAAGAAAATGAAAATTTTGAGTTCACGAGTTAGAAAAAACGTATACTTGGCGAATTCAAAACACTTTGTGACACTTAATGATTTAAGCCGGGACTCAAGATATGTATTTTTATGATTATTATGTTATACAGACATTCATATCTTTGGATTAAGTTTTCGTCTTCACCCATTACCGCGCACTCGTCTCGTCGCAGTTCGGCACTGTGTTACGTCTGGTGTGGTCGGCGTCTGACGCATCACTGCGCGATTGACCACTTGACTTTATTCCGTATTTGCATAACACAATTTGTACCTTAACAATGGAAAATAGAGATGAATATGCTTTAGGCGAAAAACATGATGCGTCGCAACGCTTCGACTCCGCGCCAGTGTGAGTTGAACCTAACTCCGCCTGTGCGTATTCCACAGTTGTTTAGTTTGCCCAGAGGTAAAGTTGACATTGTCAGTACAAAGAAAAACGTTTCACAAAATAAACTGTTGTATAGAATATGTCGATCGTATGATAACTGTGATAAATGTTCGCACCTTGACATTTTTACTAATATTTCTTTTAATCACAAAATAACGTCAATATTTTCTTTGATATTTTTCCTTTTATTATATGTAATGTTTATGTACTATAAATGTTGTGTTGAAATTATAATTGGATGTCAGATTTATAATCTTATATACGTCACAGTTCTGAGCATTATTTGTAACTCGTAGTTGTATGGTGTTAAATAAAATATATATTTATTAGTGTTAGTAGTTTTAGTACGTAGCACAAGGTGTGGACTATCATTCTAGGTCACTTCACAGCAGCTTTCGGAGGCAGTTTCAGGTTTGCGTCATCCAAGTGCTGGAATTATCTACCCTGTTCTCTTCGTAACATTTCTGGTAGGAATCCTTTTAAGAGCAAGTATTGGAAAATCAAAAAGCTTTTAAATTTTTCAGGTACTTATTTAATTATGCTTTTTATGCACACAAATTATATCACTTACGCGAATTGAGTAGTGCAAATTATAATAACTAAAAATTGTGATAAAAAAGAGATAAACAATATGAAGAAACAAAATCACAGTATTAAACTTTTTACTTTATTTCCATTTAAAAATTAAACACAAGAGTTTTGCACACTCTAACAGTAATTGCACACAGTGGAAGAAACAGTAATCTTAAAATAACTAATTTTGTAATTGTTCAGAATTAACGCAGCTAGTTTTGCAACAACACTATGATAAAATGGCTAGTTTTGTTATAATAATAGTAAAAAATACAACTTGAATCTAATTTTAATTTTCCTTTAGACTCTTATCCACGTCGTCAACCATCAATGTATCTTCATTGTCTGTCATTTCTTCTTCTTCGGTCACATTTGATTGTACTTACCCAATAATGTTATATATGAGTATACAATTCAAGAATTTCGTATATAAACCAATCCTCTCCGAAATGTTTGACGATCAAGGTTTTAATAAATGAACAAGAGTGACCTCTCGGATGACAAAATAATAAATACCAAACAAAATAACTGATTTTGCACGAGTTCATACTCAATAGAGCAGTGTTTGCAGGTTGACGACAAAATGGCAACTTTTGAAAGTGTAAAACTAAGAAAGATAGCGACTTTTGCAAAAGTGGTCAACGTTTGACACTGATTTGTTCAGAATATAGGTACCAAGTTTTGGCACTGTATTGTACATTTCACGCCATTAATTAAAAATCATTAAAAATGTCACATAGCGCTGTTTGCAAGTGGATTACGTTTTTACACACTTATTATAGGTATAATAAGACTTATTTAATTACGTTTTTTAAACATGCTCATTATATAATAAGTGTGTATAAAAAGCATAATTAAATAAGTGCCGGAAAATTTATATTACATATTAAATATACTTACGTTGAAACATTAACTTTTTGCGAGTACAGTAGTTGCGTAGTTGCTTGATGTAGCTATATTAATTATTTACATGTATTTTCTTTCTCATATACATTACTTCTAATTACTTACATTTTTATTGGAACCTGTATACGGTTGTTTACACACCTATGCATACGAGCACACGCACCGCATACGCTAAAATATAACAGTATATTGTAAGGTATAGTAATTTATTTATTTTATTGCATATTTTGGTTTTGGCTTAGGTTCTAAACTGTAAATGTAGCGTGTAGCTGGCATCACACAAAGTTTGTTTATACTTAGTGTCTTGATATATGTCAAAAATATGTTCTAATATCACACGGAACGTGATGTCACGGGCCGCGCCGACGCGAGAGCGCGTGCAGCCAAGTTCTCGACACATACCCGAATACCCGGCGCCGTCAAATGCATTTGCCCGAGGCCGCCCGGATCCGACCGTGCCACGAGCACGCCCGTTCAGCGCGCTCCCACGTTTGAAATCACGGACCGTGGGAAGCCAGCATTAGTCTTAAAGATAGACGTTGTAGTATGGAAGATGATGTAGAGACCAGGATAGAGGAGATACTTCCATGGTTTCGTTATGTAAAAAGTAAGAATGTGGATGGGTGGGTGAGGGAGAGGAAGTCCTCGGCGTACATACCTCAATCAGATTAGGGAAGTCCTTAAAAAGGCCGGGTAAGGAGTATCTAGAATAAATGGCCATGTATGAAGAGACTGATGATAGTGGAGGAGGTGAAGAGAGTTAAGAAGAGAGTCAAGAGCGTAGCAGGTGGAAGTCCATGGGTTCTGCCTACCAACGGTGGGAGACAGGTGTGATGATAATATGTATGTGTGTTTAATTGTTATTTTCTTAGCGATTTCGTTTTGTGAATATTTTTAAGAAATTTAATTTTTTGATTAAGTTTTATTGAAAGTCAGGATGTTTTACCATCATGATATTCAATTATTTTTTGTGAAATTACTAGTTTGTTATAATTATTAAACAAACATCGAACACTTAGAAAAAAAATTACATCAATCCGGTTGGATTCGAACTAACGTCTCCCAGCAAACCGTGTCAGACGCTATGCCAACTAAGCCACGAAACGAACCAACGGACCTCACGAATTTTCCATGTGTTTATTGCAGATATTTATTTTTAATCTTTTTTATTTTGCGTTGTATTTTGTCGTTAATTTCTCGATGTTTATTTTACTGATATTTATTTTTACACATTATGTTTTATTCCTTTGTAATAATGGTCAGAGAAACTCTAGATAATCACCGAATTTAAGTGTTGACTGTACACACGGCTTGGCACTACCGTGCAATATTGTGAAAACATAACGGTTTTCTTATATTCTTGTAAAGATACTGTTGCACGGTGGAACCGTTAACTAGGTGAATTACAAGACAATGTCTGCCGTAAAGATATTCTGGTTAACTTTGGTTCGGTGAATGCGGGACAATTGCACTTGAGTCTCAAGTTTTTGTGTTAGTTTTGATGTACAACAATTAATGCTCGTGTAGTTAATATAAGGAATTAGTTTATAAAAATTACGCATTATGGCCGAAGAGTTACTTCAAATTTAACCTTTGCTGAAATAAGGAAAAGTAATAGTAAATTGAATTTTCTTTGGCGTGTTAACGGTGTATACAGCAACGAGTAACTTTGAGGTGAGTAGTAATATTGTGTTTATATATCACGATTTTTTACTATCATGATATTCAATTTTTAGTAGCAGTAGAACTCTGAAAGAGTTCGTCCAGGGTTGTACTGCCACCTTACCTATTTCTGCCCCTAAGCAGTAATGTCAGCATATACGTTCCGGTTTTAAAGGGTAAGGTGCTGGTGAAGCTACAGACACATGGGACTTGTTAACTTATGTCTCAGAGTGACGGGCGCAGTGGCAGTGGCCCTCTGATCTTTACGATTTAACGCTCTAAGTGACCAGGAGTGAACAGGAGTGTAGTTTACTATCAGGCGCACGACGTATTCGTCTCAATACTTGATATTATAAAAAAATGTATATGTTTTTTGTGAGATTACTCCACTAGTTTGTTACTATTAACAACACAAAATAAAAAGGAATTTCAAAAAGAAAAGAAAGACAAAAATAATTTTCTTAGTGTTCTATCTTTGTGGCAAGTTATTATTTTTTTCTATTTGGTCTGAATTAATTATTCCACATGTCGTAGAGTCTGCCGTTGCCTCCCTATAGGGTAGACAGACAGTGTAACTAAGTGAATTCTTAGGTAAACACTTCCTGTCTCGTACCTAATGAACATGTTGGTAATAAAAAATTCGGGGTTTTGTACTTACTTGCACAGCAAAGTATAGTACGTGTGTATGTGTGTGTGTGCGTGCGTGCATACGTGCGTGCGTGCGTGCGTGCGAGCGTGCGTACGTGCGTGCGTGCGTGCATGCGTGTGTGTGTGTGCGAGTGCGTGTGCGTGTGCGTGTGCGTGTGTGTGTGTGTGTGTGTGTGTGTGTGTGTGTGTGTGTGTGTGTG